TATCTATCTATCTATCTATCTATCTATCTATCTATCTATCTATCTATCTATGAATATATACATATAGATAGGTATATATACATAGATATATCTATATGTCTTTATATATACATATGTTTGTTTGTTTTTTTAAAGGCTGGTGTGTAGGAGGCAGCTGTGTATATGTTTGTAGGTTGGATATTCTGTGTACTGTTTCTGGTGCGAGTGCTTATTTATGAGTAAATTAAATAAACTTGAATCCAGAAACATATAAATCTTTCTCCGGTGGAGGAGAGAGAGAAACATCTCCTGAGAGCTCACCTGCTCAGGTTCATCTGGCCGGTGTAGACGAACTCCAGAAGCTTCTCCAGAGAATAACGGCTGACCTAAAAGAGAGGGAGGAAAATAGCTGCTAAAAGCTGTCTGAATTTTCCATATGGACTTGTGGTCTTAATGATATTTTAAATTGTTTTATACAAAGAAATTGTTTTTTTTTTCCACAATATCATATACAGTAGATGTAGATATACAGAGTAGAATTCTGAAATATATTTGTTTTTATGGAGACTGCCACTCATTAAGCCCCTTGAGGGTTTTTATTTATTTATTTGAATAGGGACAAAGCACATTAATGAACATCAGTATAAAAAAAAATGTTAATCTGCCGGATTATAGCTACAAAGCTCATTTTCATCCGTAGTCCTTAGGCAGGAAATAGGAAACATCGGAAAGAACATATAATATACGGTATAAGCATCACAAGGAAATGTTATGTTAGCTGATCAGTGTAGGGCAGTTGTCCATCACATTTTCTTTTTTTAGGGAAATATAAGACTGTTTTTATGTTTTTGTTGTGAAAATAGAATAAATAAATAAACCTTGTCCGGGTTAGGGTTATTGTGAAATATATTTGTTTTTATGGAGACTGCCACTTATTAAGCCCCTTGAGGGTTTTTCCGCAGTTGTCCATCACATTTTATTATTTTAGTGAAATATAATACTGTTTTTATGTTTTTGTTTAAATAAATAAATAAAATGAATAAATAAAATAAAGTAAAAATAAATAAAATAATGTAAAATAAAATAAAGTTAAATAAAATAAAATAAAATAAAATAAAATAGAATAAAATAAACGAACCTTGTCCGGGTCCAGAGTGGTGATCTCCTGCCCCTTTTCCGCCTGGGAGGAGAAGTAGCTGCTGAAGGCGGCCAGGATGTTGCGGTGGGCTCTGAACTCCACGTCTTTGACCATGATGGTGACGTCGCACAGGAAGTCCATCTCTCGCTGCTGGTGGAGGCGCTGCAGAAGCAGCCGCCCGTGGCCGGAGATGTGAGCCATCGCTGGGGGGAAAACACAGGAGAATACACCGGTCATGCTCCACTCAGAGCCCAAAAATACACCGTCTGACCACAATCTGGACTTATTATTATCATTCAATACAATCTGGATTAGACCCGTCCCGATCCGATATCTGGATCAGATCGGCCGCCGATATTTGCAAAAAAATGCAGATTTTTTATTGTTCTTTACACCGTACTGTGTCATTTCAATTCATTTTATAATACATTAACTCATTGACTGGCAGCCATTTTCAGAACAGAGAGTCGCTCACTGCCAGAGTTTTTTGAGAATTTTGACTGATTTTTCAAGAGCCACAGAATAGTTTGTGCTATGACTATGTAAACACCGAACACGCCAAAAGAAAGAGTAGACTCTCTTCTTTCATCAGGAAAAAATCTTTTGTTTCTACCTTATTCCGTTCTTCCTGGACTTGCGTCTCACCGGCGCCATTTCTCTCATAGCGAACCATTGCATTTGTTTTTATTTGCTTACAATCTATGCTAATCTCCCTTCAAAAGTGGCACAGCTACCTAGAGGGTCAATTTGTTAGTCCATACTCTGTCTAGAAGCCGATATTTACGGAAAAACTTTCGCCGATCTTCCCCCAAGCCACTCGCATTGAAAAACATAAAAGACGTCTATAGACGTCTTTGGCAGCGAATGAGTTAATACAATTTTGTAATACACCGTCTGGCCGCCATCTGGACTTATTATTATTATTATAAATTATTATTGTTAAACATATAAATCATCATCACTCAGTTTGAATGGAAAGTGGTTCAGTTTCCCCAAAAATTTTGTTTCCAGGTTCCATTTATTCCTTTTTCACATCCTTTTAACCATCCATGCTAATAGGCTGGTCCCGATCCCATATCTGGATCAGATCGGCCCCCGATATTTGCAAAAAAATGCATATTTTTTATTGTTCTTTACACCGTACTGTGTCATTTCAATTCATTTTATAATACATTAATACAATTTTGTAATACACCGACTGGCCGCCATCTGGACTTATTATAATTACTATTATTAATTATTATTGTTAAACAAATAAAGCATCATCAATCAGTCTGAATGGAAAGTGGTTCAGTTTCCCCCAAAATGTTGTTTCCAGGTTCCATTTATTCCTGTTTCACATCCTTTTAAGCATCCATGCTAATAGGATGGTCCCGATCCAATATCTGGATCGAAACGGCCGACAGGAGAAAAATCAGATCCAGACTCCTGATCCAGTTTTTTTTTTTTAAGTCCGATCCCACACGAGCATTAGCGTTAGCATCTGTAACCCACAGGTCTGTGTCCTAACCATTAAGTTGTTATCAGAGTAAATCCTTGTTCAGCATGAGTCTGACAACTAAGTAAGTAGATCAATAACTTTAGACTTTAATACATGCTCTGATAGGCCGGGATCGGATCGGAAGTAAAAAAAGCTGGATCGGGACCCGGAGAAGGCACTCTACCCTTTTCCGGTGAGAGACTTAGAGGCACTGATCCATCTGGAACATTTACAGCTTTTTCTGATGTTATAGTCAGTTAATTTACATATGTGATACAAACTACAGACAAAAGAACTCAGAATTCCTGCTTGTTTTCCTCCAAAATGAGGCACTGTTGCTGTAAATGATCTTTATTGTACCAATGTGTGTCAATGTGTTTGAAACAAGTTTGAAAATGAGAAACTGATCATTTAGACTTCCTGCTTAATAAGTAGTCAAAACAGACCCCAAGAGGACAAATACTGGGTATTATTTGTGGGCATTCATATTCTGATTGTTAAATCAATAAATCTCTTTTTTTTTTTTTACTTTCGTTTGACTCATTTTCAAACGACTACTTCTTACTTTTACTTGAGTAATATTACTCTAAAGTAACTAAATTTTACTAGATTTTTCTGACTTTTCCATGACCTGACAAGGGCAACATTTTTGTGTAATAACCCTGTTGTTGAACCTTAAGAACGCTCCAATTTTAGGCCTGTTAGACCTAATTAGGAGGCAATAGGACGGGGTTTTAAAGATTCAGGGCAATCTGCTGGCTTCCTCAGATAAGAAAGATTTGTAATTGGCTCTAATTTGGATTTTAATGAACGTCAACTGATTGGATCATGACTCCAATAGATTTAAATGAATTGGACTGGGTCTTTGAAGTGCCTGGAGGTGACGTTTGCTTTGATTTGGTGCTTTATATGCAGAGTTATACTGATTTTAATAAGAGTTTAAAACTTACTCCTAGCAATCCTCAGAGGTGGAATGAATGTATCTGAATCCCAGGACGTAGAAGGCGTTTCACCTCTCATCCTGAAGAGGTGAAACGTCTTCAGGATGCTGGAGGATGGAGCTGTGAGGACCACAGAGCCCTGGATGCTGAGAATCAGCCCCAACTTACCGTGTGTAGTGTCCCGGTGCCCAAAGAGTCACAGCCCGGAGAGAGTGGAGTCCTCTGTGGGGCGAAAGTAAACACAATCAGGCCGATAAACTAGTTCCCCGGGACGGGGGTGCTTCAGAACAGGTGAAACTCTGCATCTTTGACAGGTGAGAAGGAGAAGAAATTTGGAAAATAAAAGCTCGCGCGTGCTTCCTGAGGCCTGCGGCTAAAGCTAATGCTAGCACCGGGGTCGTCGGTCGGTTTAAACGACCTCTGCGGCTCTTTGGGCCCTTTGAGGCGGGTTTATGGAGGCTTAGTGTGCATGGCGAGCTGGCTAATGGGTGTTTGTGTCCTCAAAGTGTGCCAAAAGGGCGGGTGTGCGAAGAGGCTAAAGCTAGCTGTGTTTGTGTTGACAAAAAGCGCGCAAAGCATTGTGCTCTTATTTCGAAGGTTTCACGGTTTTGTACAGGCGGGGTTGGCGCAAGCCGGCGCCAAATACGACAAAACGGCGCAGTTTTGTCGTAACTCACGCTAACCTGCCACCAGTTTGGGTTATTTCCGTATTTAACGCCGTTGTTTTGATCCGCGAAAAAGTTAATAAAAGCAGAAAAGTACCTTCTAACATCCGCGATCTTCGGCCATTATCCGTGTGACGTAGTGTTCTCGCGAGATTTCGAGTTGGAAGTCAACGGACAGTAAAAACGGGAAGTCACTATCTTTCATATTCAGCCCGTTGAGCGGGAAACAAGGACCAAACATTTACTAAAAATCGTCTTTGGGCCTAATTTACGGAGAATTAAACCCTTAAGATTATCTAAGACCCCCCAAATATCATAAATATCTATAAGTGTTCCCTTTAATGGTGTCTGTGCAGATGAATAACAAACCATTTTATTAAGAAAGACCTAAAAAATTAGGCTGTTTTGTGACATGTTATAATAAAAAAAGCTAGATCTTTATTTTTCTCCTTTTTATGCAACACTCTGATATTTAATCCCCTTTTTTCCAGACGTAAAGGTCAATTTTAATAAAAGTTACTCCTCCAATCTGAGTGGAAAAGGTCAGAAATCCTAAACAGTTTGTAAAAATTACAGGAATTCTGTTAAAATAAACAGGATTTGGGCTAAAAAATGAGCCACAGAGCTCATGGGGGTTAAATCTGTATGTTTGGGAGCTCAACGTGTCCATTTTAGGAGCAGAGCTGCATTAAAAGCGTCCAGACTTTAACAGATCTGCTGTCAGTTAGTCTAACAGGAACTGAGTTATTTCTCCATTTCAGGAATCATTTATCAGACCAACTTCCATCTGATTAACTTAGACAAAGACAGTGGAATTAGATCTGGTATCAGACTTTCAGCAGCTATGGAGGTCTGAGTTTTTTTTAAGGAAGAGAAATGTAAATAACGAGCATACAAAAGAAACCTTTGCACAGCTCGGTTATGTAATTTTGTTTAAATGTGGAGCCACATCCAGATGAAATTACAAAGTGATTATCAGGCTTTCATCAACAAATGATTTCCCTAGATGGTTTTCATTTAGTCTCATTTTCCACTTATGAGGAGAACAATGTTGTTTATCAGTGCTGCAGATTAGAGCTCACACTGGGATGGTTTTTATCTGATTTTCAGGCAGACAAACCTTTACTGGCGTCACAGAAAAAAACAAAAATGATGCTGAACGATAAGCTCCAACAAACCAGACCGACCTCTTCATCTTCATCCATGCATTCACGGTCTTTCTACATTCTTCTTATTCACTTTAAGCTAAACTCACGTGCCCTTGGATGTACTTTGGGTTGTCCTTCTTAATATAAATCAATTAATTGCATGTTTATTTGTTCTTTTTG